GCTCCGGAGAGGGTCCTTCCCCCCGCAGTGGAGGAGCGCCACGTTGTGCTCCTCCAGAAAGAGGGGAAGGACGCATCCGTGCCGTCGGCGTATCGTCCGATATGCCTTCTGGACGAATCCGGCAAGCTCTTTGAGCGTATTATTGCAAGCCGGATCGTCCAGCACCTGTCCCACGTGGGCCCCAATATCAACGGGGCCCAATACGGATTCCGAGAGGGCCTATCGACAATGGATGCGATTAGTCGCGTCCAGGCCCTCTCGGACGAGGTGACTTCCCGGGGGGGGGGGGGTGATGTTAGCAGTGTCGTTGGATATCTCCAACGCATTCAACACCCTCCCCTGGGAAATGATCAGGAAGTCGCTCCGACACCTGGGGATACCATTGTATCTCCAGCGGGTCGTGGGCGACTACTTAAGGAACAGGTAGGTCGAGTATATCGACCAAGGCGGCGAGCGCCGGCGGGCGGAACTGCGCCGGGGAAGTACCCCAAGAGTCCGTTTTGGGACCACTTTTGTGGAACGTGGGGTACGACCCGGTGCTGCGGACTACCTCCCCCCCCGACTGTCACGTCGTCTGCTATGCAGACGACACACTAGTGATGGCCGGGGGTCGCGATTGGGGGGAGGCCCTCTCCAGGGGGAGAGTGGCAGCGGGAGCGGTGGTTAGCTCTATCCGCAGGCTGGGCCTCGAGGTGGCACTCGACAAGACCGAGGCCGTTGTGTTCCACGTCGGAGCACGCAGCAAGCCACCCGAGGGACTGTCCCTGCATGTGGATACAACCCTCGTCAGGATCACCCGGGAAATGAGGTACCTCGGGTTGATCCTGGACGACCGATGGAGGTTCGAGGGCCACCTTGCCGCGGCCGCTAACCGGGCGAGAGCGAGAGCGACCCAGTTGGGCCGCCTCCTCCCCAACCTGGGCGGCCCGGATGACAAGGTGCGTAGGTTGTACGCCAACGTAGTCAAGTCGGTGGTGCTCTACGGGGCCCCTGTTTGGGCCCCAAGGCTCGCGGCACTGAGGCGTGCCCGCGCCGGCATGGCGCGGGCAATTCGCCCGATCGCCACGAGGATATGTAGAGCCTACCGGACTGTGGCGTA